ATATATATATATATATATATATATGTATATATATATATATATACATATATACATATATATATAATCACATATACTTTCTATCTCCATATGCACCCTAAATATATATATATATATATATATATATATATAGACGCAATCATATATACATCGGATCTCCATGTACACCCCAAGCATAGGCGCATATATAAACACAAGCTCCCTATACACCCCAATCATATGCACACAATCATACATACATACACATTCCCTATAAACTCCAAGCACACATGCATGCATATACACAGGCTTCCTATATATATATATATATATTTCAAACACATGCAGTGAGACATACACCCAAGCTGCCTATACACCCGAAACGCCTTCTTCCTCAGCCACACGGCACAGACAGCTGAAGATGAGTACATGCGAGAAAAAAACAAAAACAAAACAGAAGAAAATCTACGAATGAACAAAAACGAATAAAAAAACAAAAGAAAAATCTATCTATACACCCCAAAACAACTTACAATGAAAAAAAGACAGATACACCCGAATGCATGCATCTATATATGTATGTATATATATATATATATATATATATATATATATATTAGATGCAAGCCCCAAACTCTCATAAAGATAAGAAGACGCATATACACCGCATGCAGCACTTCACAAAATGCTGCAGGATTATCAATTAGAATGCAACGGAGACAGCTCCAGCAACAGAAGCAGCAACAGCAGCAGCAGCAGCAGCAGCAGCAGCAGAAGCAAGAAACCAACTACTGTTTGAGGTGTACGTACACCTTCTGCCTCATCTGATGCCTTAAGAAGAGCAGAAATGAATTTAAACGCCCAAATGGTGCTGGTGTTATGACGCACTACTCGTATCAAACGCCTGCAGCAACAAAGCATGAAAATAAATAATAAATAAATACTCAAATAATTAATAAATTAATAAATATTAAAATACTTAATAAATTAATACACATTAAAATAATCAATATATATATATATATATATAAATGCTAAATTAATCAATACATACATATTAAAATAATTAATAAATATATACGAATGGTAACGGAAACAAATGCAAAAAAAACGACAAACTCATCCAGTTATACACAGCAATGTACACTTAAACCTCTATATATATATATATATACATATATATGCATGTATATATTTATACATATGTATATATATATATATATGTATAAATGTATATATGCATATATGTATATGTATATGTACATTCAAGTATATATACATATATATATATATATGTATATGCATATATATAGATATATACATATATAGATGTATATAAATATATATATAAAGCATACATTAACGCGTTATATATAAAAATTGTATATATGCATGCTAAAGAAAACACGAAGAGAAGAAGGAGATAAGAAAGAAATAATACTTGTGTCTTTCTTCTCTCTCTTTTCTTTGCATAGTGAGAGCAGCAAAGAGAGCCTCTGCACTTTGATGCTCATTCCAAGGGTTAATTATTATTGAGCCTTCTTGAAGAAACTCTGCTGCACCTGCAAACTCAGATAATATCAATACCCCGGGGCCTTTGTCTAACTCCTTGTAGCACCCTTCTGCTGCTGCTGCTGCTGCTGCTGCTGCTGCTGCTGCTCCTGGTGTTGCTGGTTGTGGTGGTGGTGGTGGTGCTGCTGCTGCTGTTGCTGTCGATTCTGTCTCTGTCTCCTTGTTCTGTCTCCTTTGCCCTCGCTGCGCTGATGCATCTGTCTCCTTCTGATGGACAGCAGCTTCACAAGCTCCAGAGCGCATGCAGCAGCAGCTTGTTGCTGCATTCCCGCTGCTGCAGCAGCAGCAACGACAACTGCTGCTGGTGCTGCTGCTGCTGCTACCTGCTGCTGCCTCCGTTGCCTCCTGCTGCTGCAGCCCCATCCCCTCCACCGCTCCTTCCAGTGTTTGTCCACTTATTTCTCTCTGCAGCAACCTTAACTGCTGCTGCTGCTGCTGCTGCTGCTGCTGTTGCTGCTTGTGCTGCTGCTTCAGGAGCTTGCGGTATTTTGCTGCTAGCTGCATCTTTGCTTGCTGCGCAGCAACAAACTCTAAGGCAACGAGATTCATACCGTCTCTTAAAGAAGTAATAAAGAGACAATCCGCAACTAAATATAAAGCACACAAATCAATAAAACCAACGGATCTATCTAGAGACTGAAGAGGAACGCGAGATAAACTTCCTCGGCTGCCGTTTATGCGCCCCACAAGCTCGTGCACCTGCATGCAACACCAAAGTGCATGCAACCATGCATGCACAACAATGCATGCAACCATGCATGCAGCAGTGCATGCAGCAATGCATGTATAAATGCATGCATTCACACATGCTTAAATGCATGCATAAATATCTGAAAGGCTCCGTGCTGCTGGTGCTGCTGTTGCTGTTGCTGTTGCTGTTGCTAATGCTGCTAATGTTGCTACTGCTGCCACTGGAGCTGCTGCTGCTGCTACTGCTGATCTACTGCTGGTGCTACAGTTCCAACTGCTGCTGCAACTGCTGCAACTGCTGCTACTGCTGCTACTGCTCCTAATGCTCCTACTGCTGCTGCTGCTACTGCTGCTGCTGCTCCTGCTGCTGCTGGTTACCTTGGTTTTAAGTTTTCTGTATTCGTGAACCCCCGTGCGCGTAGGGACAGCGACTTGCAGCAGCAACACGGAGTCTCTAAGCTCAGGGTGCTGCTGCAAGAAGCAATCAAAGGCATTCAACTTATGAGGGAGACCCTTCATATAATCTAAGCGATCTACGCCCAACACTACCTGCAGCAAAAGGAGACAGCAAAAGGAGACAACTCAGCACAGCAACAAGCTGATATATATATATATATATATATACCAGGGAAACGCCAGCTAATGCTGCACCAGTTCTTGCTGTTGCTGCTGCTGCTGCTGCAGCTCCTGCTCCTGCCGCTGCTGCTGCAGCTCATGGTGCTGCTGCTGCAGCTCCTGCTCCTGCTGCTGCTCTTGCTGCTGCAGGAGCAGCAGCAGGAGCTACAGGAGGGACAGTAGCCACAGGAGTAACAGCAGCAGCATCTAGAGCAGTAGAAATCAAGAGCAGCAGCAGCACGAGCAGCAGCAGCACGAGCAGAAGCAGCACGAGCAGCAGCAGCACGAGCAGCAGCAGCATGATCAGCAGCAGCTGCAGCATCCGCAGCAGCCGCAGCATCAGCAGCGTCAGCAGCATCAGCAGCAGCAGCAGCGGGAAGAAGAGTATGCGTACGCGTCTGTCTCCCATCTCTCTACGAAGTTTAGCTGCTGCTTCCTGCACCTGCTGTGATGCTGCATCATCAATAAATTGTTTGCTGTCAATACCAATAGGAATAGATATGCAGTGTGCATAGACTCCACCAACAGGTGCAGCAAGTACGCCTCTATCAGTAACTTCAAGCCCCAAAGTTTGAACGCATGCAGAGAAGAAGTGTCTCCTATAGGATTCAACATGAAACCCAAGGAGATTCGCACTTAATAAACCTATTAATAACTCTGTCCTATAAGGAAGCAATCTAAACAATTCGCTTGAAGGAAAGGGTGTATGCAAGAACCATCCTATTAATAAATCGTAGCCTCCGCTGCCCCATCTCTCTCGCAGCAGCTTCGGAAGCAGCATCAAATGATAATCGTGTATCCAAACCAGGTCTCCAGGCCGCAACACCTTCAAAGTGCAGCAGCAGCAGCAGCAACAGCAGCAGCAACACCAGCAGCAGCAGCAGTAACAGGGAGAGCAGCAGCAGAAGCAGAAGAAGTAGAAGCAGAAGCAGAAGCAGATGCAGCAGAAGAAGCAGAAGCAGCAGCAGCAGCAGAAGCAGAAGCAGCAGCAGAAGAAGCAGCAGCAGAAGAAGCAGCAGCAGAAGAAGCAGCAGCAGCAGAAGCAGCAGCAGCAGAAGCAGAAACAGATGTAGATAAAGATGCAAATGGGCAGGGTTAAGATGTGAGGAGGAGAGAGACAGAGACACAAATGAAAAGAACTGAGAAGCAAATAATAAAAGAGATAATAAAAGAAATAAAGGAGACAAACAATAAAGGAGAGAAGAAAAAGAAAAAAGATAAAAAAGATAATTAACTCGAAGCAAAACGAGACAGATACACCCAACAAGAGACAGAGAGACAGCAAAGGAGACAGGGGAGACAGAGAGAGAGACAGAGACACTACAAACACGAGAGGGGTTCTGCTGCATGCAAACGAAAGGAGACATGTGAGTAGAGCTAAGATTTCTTTAAGTTGCTGTCTGTCTCCATTGCTGTCTCTTCGTCTCATTTGATGCCTCTCTCTGTCTCCTCTAGGGTCTCTCTCTCTGTCTCCTTCTGCGTCTGTCTGTCTCCTCTGTGTGTCTGTCTACCCCCTTTTGTCTCCGTCTGTCTCTGTCTCTGTCTCTGTCTCTGTCTCTTTGATTCTCTGACTCTGTCTCTCCTTCTTCGTCTCTCTGTCTGTCTCCTCCTTAATGAACTATGTGTCTCCTTTCGTGCATGCGTACATGTATGCATGTACTATAGGAGACGCATGCATGCATGCATGCATGCATATACTAAAGGAGACACATGCGTGCATGCATGCATATACTGAAGGAGACACATGAGTACATGCATGCATATATTGAAGGAGACACACGGATGCGTGCATGCATATACAAAAGGAGACACATGTATGCATGCATGCATATACTAAAGGAGACACATGCATGCATGGATGCATATACTAAAGGAGACACACGGATGCTTGCATGCATATAATAAGGGAGGCACATGGATGCATTCATGCATGCATGCATGCATACACATACTAAACGAGACACATGCATGCGTGCATGCATGCAGGTATATTGAAGTGCGTATAATGAAATACCTCGCATAGGGCTTCACAGAAGAGTTCATTTGCATGCACGTAGGCTCTCCACTGAAGGAGGCTTTGCTCTTCACCTGCATCAACATCTAAAGGCGGAGGTAAATAATGAAGAAGAGGCCAGAGTACATTATTACAGAATCCGTTATAATAGGCGTCAATTGTTTGCTGGTCTAAGAAGACAGGAAAACAATTCTTTTTCTTATACTCTGCTGTTAAACGAGGCCGCAGCAAAGGGGGGGCCTCTGCTCCAGCCCAGCCTACCCAGAGACAGTTTAAATGTCTTATACCTCGGAGGCCTGAGACAAGACCTCCTCCGCTTTGAGTGTATGTTAAGCCTTCATTTCTCTTTATCTCTACGCTTAAAGGCAAGCGATTTGCTACTATTACTAAACGTAAGCCCCCAAACATATCATTCATTTCACTAGGGATACTGCTGATGCTGCTGCTGCTGCTCGTGCTGCTGCTGCTCCTGCTGCTGCTTGTGCTCCTGCTGCTCCTACTGCTGCTGCTCCTACTGCTGCTGCTCCTGCTGCTAGGAGATCTTCCTCTTATGCGTATATCAGAGACATCATGAGGGCTCGGAGATACATGCCTACGAAGACGTCGCTTTTCTCTCCTGCTCCTGCTGCTGCTGCTTCTTCGCCTGCTGCTGCTGCTGCTGCTGCTGCTAGTGCTGCTCCTCCTCGCTTCCTCCCCCCCTTCAGCTATCGGATGCCACTGGGGCCTCTCCAAAGAAAAACCCGATTGCTCTCCAACGGCCCAGGGAACGCTGCCACTGCTGCTGCTGCTGCTGCTGCTGCTGCTGCTGCTACTGCTGCTGTTGCTGCTGCTGCTGCTGCTGGGGACTGAAATTACTGACTGGCCTTCGCTTAGCAGCGCGTTGCTTCCGGAGAGACTTGCAGTGAGGCCCATCTGTCCAGCAGCATATGCAGCAGCAGCAGCTGCTGCTGCTGTCGAGGCAGCAGAAGCTCCCGCCGCTGTCATGGTTGCTGTTGCTGCTGTTCTCGCTGCTGCAGCACCTGCTGCTGTTGCTGCTGCTGCTGCAGCATGCTCCTGCAAGAAGACATCGAATGGATCCTGAGACCCTTGCAGTCTCTTCTGCAGCCACACGTCGGCCATCACCTGCAGCTGGGCCAAATCGTAATGCTGCTGCTGCTGCTGCTCTAGCTGCTGCTGCTGCTGCTGTATCTGCTGCTGCTCTAGCTGCTGCTGCTCTAGCTGCTGCTGCTGCTGTATCTGTTGCTCTAGCTGCTGTTGCTGCTGCAGCAGCAGCTGCTGTTGCTGTTCTAGCTGCTGCTGCTGCTGTAGTTGTTGGTGCTGCTGCTGTAGCTGCTGCTGTTGCTGTTCTAGTTGCTGCTGCTGCTGCTGCAGCTGTTGCAAATGCTGCTGCTGTTCTCCACCTTCGAAGCGCACATGCCAGACATGCTCACTCAAACTGTGCTGCAGCAGCAGCTGCTGCTGCTGCAGCGGCAGCTGCTGCTGCTGCTGCAAGGGCAGCTGCCGCTGCTGCAGCGGCAGCAAAGCCTCTTCAAATAAGACCTGCTGGGCCAGCGTATCAGCTGCAACCTGCTGCTGCTGCTGCTGCTGCTGCTGTAGGGCAAGCATCTCGTGCTGAAGCTGAGCTTGGAGCTGCTGTTCTTGCTCCGCAACAACTAGGACGTGATGCGCCTCAATCTGCTGCTGGTAATATGTTGTTGCTGCTGCTGCTGCAGCAACGGGCTGCTGCTGCAGCTGTAATGATTGCTGTGCATTCTGCTGCTGGGTCGTGAGTTGATGGAGAAGATGTTGGCGTACCTCTTGTTGCACCTGCTGCTGATGCATCTGCTGCTGTTCAAGGTGAAGCTGCTGCATCTGCTGCTGTTCCAGCTGCTGCTGCTGCTGCTGCAGTTGCTGCAGCAATTGGTGTTGATATGTTTGCTGGTGCAGCAGTTCCTGCTGCACCAAAGCCTCCTGTTGTTGCTGTTGTTCATCATTGCCGTGTTCCTGCTGCTGCTGCTGCTGCTGCGGAGCGGACTGCGTTGTACAAATGTGCTGCTGCTGCTCCTGCTGCTGCTGCTGCTGCTGTGATTGCAGTTGATGGTGCTGCTGCTGCTGGGCATGCTGATGCTGCTGCTGTTGCTGCTGATGCTCATGGTGGCGTTTCTGCAGCTGCTGTTCACATTGGTGATGATGCTGCAGCTGCTCCCGCACCTGTTGTTGTTGCTGCTGCTGCTGTTGCTGCTGCTGCTGTTGCTGTTGCTGCTGCTGCTGCTGCTGCCCCATTCCTGTATCCGTCGGCGGCAGCTGTTCTTCGTACTGCTGCTGCTGTTGCTGCAGGCCCTGTTCTGGCTGCTGCACGGTGAGTTGCTGTTGCGGTTGCTCCAACAACGACAGCGGTTGCTGTTGCTGCTGCTGCTGCTGCTGCTGCTGCTGCCACGACGGAATACCCTGATGTTGCGTAAAGGAGTCTACAGGTGTACGAGCGCGAACCGGTGTCTCTGTTGCTGCCCTTGGTGCTGCTGCTGTCGCTGCTGCTGCTGTTGTTGATGGGCAAGCACTTGCAGCACGTGCAGCAGCAACTCGGGCAGGGGCCCCCACTTCAGGCTGCTGCTGCTGCTGCATGCCCGTTTCTGTCTCCCTTCGCGGCTTCAGTGGTGCAACTGAAGGCTGAACCCGCTGCTGCTCCTGCTGCTGCTGCTGCTGCACCTGCTGTTGCGTCTGTGCAGCAGCAGCAGCAGCAGCAGCAGCAGCTACCTCTGGTGCTTCGGCCGGGGCAGCAGCAGCAGCTGCTGCTGCTGCTGGGCCTGGCAGCAAGGTTGAGGGTACGCCGAAGGTGGTATGGTCAGACGCGGCTGGAAGTGTATGCTGCTGCTGCTGCTGTTGCTGTTGCTGTTGCTGTAGCTGCAGCTGCTGTTGCTGCTGCTGCTGATGTTGCTGCTGCTGCAGGCGTGTCTGCAAGGCAATGTCGTCCGAGGGCATCTTCATGCTAGGCATTCCCTGGGGTGCTGCTGCTGCGGGGGGTTGTTTTGCTGTTACAGCATCAGCTGCTGGTGCAGCAGCAGCAGCAGCAGCAGCTGGTGGTGGTGCTGCTGCTAATTGCTGCGTGGTCGGGCAGCTGCTGCTGCTAGCTTGTCCTCCTCCGCTGCTCAGGTTTGTTGCTGTGCTACCGCTGCGAGTGCTGTAGCGGCTGCTCTCTGCTGGTCCTGCGGCGGCTGCTGCTGCTGCTGCTGCTGCTGCATCAGCTGCTTCTGCTGCTTCTACTGCTGCTGCTGCTGCCTCCAGTACCCCTATGCCGAAGAAGGCAGAGGGGCCCTCAAAGGAGCCGCCGGTGCTGCCGCTGCTGCCGCTGCTGCTGGTCCTGCTGCTGCTGCTGCTACTGCTGCTGCTGCTGCTGCTGCTGATCTCACTGCTAACAAGACCAGCAATTAAAGGGACAGACAACCGCCTGGATGATTCAAAGGGGCCCCTCACTTCTGCACTGAGGGGGGCCCCCTTCTCAGACCCTGAGAGCCCCCCCGCAGCAGCAGCAGCAGCAGCGGGGGGGCCCCCAGCAGCAGCAGCAGGGGGGCCCCCTGCAGCTTCTGGTGGGGGGGAGGCCCCCTCCCACACTGCAGACAAAGCAGGGGGCCCCGCCGCAGCTTTAGGGGGGCCCCTCGCAGCTCCAGCTACAGGGGGCCCCCCAGCTGCTGCTGCTGCGGTTGCTGCTGCTGCGGTTGCTGCTGCTCCGGCTACTGCTGACGCTCCTAATGGGGCCCCCACAGGTGCAAGCATAGGAGCCCCGATAGCTGAAGGGAGGGGGGCCCCTTGAGAAGCAGCAGCAGCAGCAGTGGAATCAACGACGGTTACAGAGGATGTGACCTGTACCCCAATATCATGCCGCTGCTGCTGCTGCTGCTGTTGCTGCTGCTGCGGTTGTTGCTGCTGCGGTTGCTGCTGCAGTTGCTGCTGCTGCTGCGGCTGTTGCTGCTGCAGTTGCTGCTGCGGCTGCTGCAGTTGCTGCTGCAGTTGCTGCTGCTGCTGCGGTTGCTGCTGCTGCGGCTGCTGCTGCTGCTGCGGTTGCTGCTGTTGCAGTTGCTTCTGCTGCTGCGGTTGCTGCTGCGGTTGCTGCAGTTGCCGCTGCTGCGGTTGCTGCTGCGGTTGCTGCTGTTGCAGTTGCTGCTGTTGCGGTTGCTGCTGCTGCGGTTGCTGCTGCTGCGGTTGCTGCTGCTGCGGTTGCTGCGGTTGCTGCTGCTGCGGCGGCTGCTGAGGCTGCTGAGGCTGCTGCAGTTGCTGCTGCTGCACAGGCGCAGCTATGGGCCCTTGTTGGGGTTGAGGGGTACCTGGCCGCAAAGGAGTCGCATGAGGAGACTGATGCAGCAAACATGTCTTTTGAGCTGCTTGCTGCATCGACAATCCCTGCTGTTGCTGCTGCTGTGGCGGCGGCGGCGGCGGCGGCGGCGGCGGCGGCGGCGGCGGCAACGCAGGCTGCAGCACAAGCTGCTCCTGCAGTGGCTGCTGCGGCTGCAGCTGTTGCTGCTGCTGCTGCTGTTGTCGTTCTGTCGCTTGCGGTGGTGCTGTCACTTGGTGCAGCGGCTGCAGCGGTTGCTGCGGCTCTTGCAGCTGCTGCTCTGTTTGCTGCTGGGATTGCTGCTGCCCCTGCTGCTCTGTTTGGTGAAGGAGTTGCTGCTGCCGCTGCTGCTGCAGTTGCTGCCGCAGCCCCGCGCTGCTCAGGAAGCTGGCGCTCCACTCTCTCCTGCATGCAGGCCTCACGTTGTTGCAGAAGCTGCAAGTGCTGCTGCTGTTGCTGCTGCCGCCGCCACAGTGGGCGCATCTGCTGTTGCGCTGCAGCAAGGGGTAGTCTAGGCCCAACCCACTGCTGCTGCTGCTGCTGCTGCTTTTGCTGCGGTAACCAAGAGAAGGGCAATAGGAGGATCGGCGAAAGGCCGGAGGAGAAGAAGCAAAGGGCTCATCTTCTGCTGCTGCTGCTGTTGCTGCTGCTTCCTCTGGCTGCGCCTGTTCCTGCCGCAGCTGCTGCAGCCTGATGCGGGCATCCTGGTGCTGCAGCAGCAGCAGCTGCTGCTGCTGCAGGTGCTGCTGCCGCTGCTGCTCCTGCTCTTGCCTTTCCCGTATGGCTGTACGCAGATGCAGCTGCTGTTGCGGCAACGGGGTCAGTGGCTGCTGCTGCAGCTGCTGCTGCTGCTGCAGCTGCAACTGCTGCAGTTGCTGCTGCTGCAGTTGCTGCTGCTGCTGCAGCGGCTGCTGCTGCTGCACTGTGAGGCTGTCCTGGTGAAGGTGCAACTGCTGTGTTGGCTGCACCCCTGTCACAGGTTGCAGCAGCAACTGCTGCTGTTGCTGCTGCTGCTGTTGCTGCTGCTGCTGTTGCTGCTGCTGCTGCAGCTGCTGCAGGCCAGGCTCGGTAAGACTCGCCAAGACGCCTTGCGCTGTAGCACTGCACAGCACTTGCTGTTGAAGCTGTTGCTGCTGCTGCACATGTTGCTGCTGCATTTGTTGCTGCAGTTGCTGCTGGTGCATCTGCTGCTCTAGCTGCTGCTGCAGCTGCTGTTGGTGTAGTTGCTGCTGCTGCTGCTGCTGTAGCTGTTGCCGTACACCTTGGGGGTCGCCCCACGGCAGCGGCTCTATGCGAAGCTGCACTCCTCCTTGAATAAGGGGAGCTTGCTGCTCCAGCTGCATCTGCTGCTGGTGCTGCTGCACCTGCAATTGGTGCTGCAGCAGTTGTTGCTGCTGCAGCAGCTGCTGTTGTTGCAGTAGTTGCTGCTGCTGAAGAGCATGAAGCTGCGGGATAGGGTCACTTGCGAAGGTAGCTGCAGCAGTAGGAACATCACCTGAGCCAAGCTGGAGTTGCTGCTGCAGGAGCAGTTGCTGCTGCTGCTGCTGCTGCTGCTGCTGCACAGTTTGATGCTGATGCAGCGCAGCAGCAGCTGCTAGTTGCTGCTGCCGCTGCATCTCACTCTCTGGGGTCGTTTGCTTCGGCTGGCCCGGAAGCCCAATGTTAGTATCTTGTTCCATCTTGTAGGCGCTAGGCGCTTCCGTTTGTGCTGCTGCTGCTGTTGCTGCTGCTGTTGCTGCTGCTGCTGCTGCTGCTGCTGCTGCATGCGGCGCTGCTGGGGGTGCAGCGCATACGCAGCTGCAGCAACGGAAGCATTTGTGGCCCCGATATTAAAAGGCTGCGACTGGAGCAGCCGAAGAGCCCACACACAGTGAAGATAGCAGCAGCAACAGCAGCAGCAGCAGCAGCAGTTGCAGCAGCTTTGGCTGTGCTGTTGCGGTTGTCTTTGCCTATGCTTGCCCCTCCTGAGCTTTCTCCTTGTGTGGGGGGAAGAGGAGACAGTTGTTATGAATGTAGATAAAATACTGAACAGCAAACAACAAGCTTGATCCGTGTAGCAGCAGCTGCAGCTGCTGCAGCAGCTGCAGCTGCAGCAGCAGCACTAACAGCACTCAATGAGTCCGCAGTTGGCAGCCCCTTCTGCTCAGAGCACAGGGAGACCCCTGGAAGGTTCAGAGATATGCAGCGGGACCAGCAGTAGTAGCAGCAGCAGCAGCAGCAGCAGCGGCGGCAGCAGCAGCAGCAGCAGCAGCAGTGACGGCAGCAGCAGGCTACTGCGTTTGTCTCTATGTTTGCCTCCTAAACAAGATAGAAGAGCAGCATACAAATACAACAATTAAAAATCTTTTGAATGGGCGGAGAACTAATGCAGAGCCGTGAGGTGACCTCGACATGCTGCTGCTGCTGCTGCTGCTGCTGCTGCTGCTGCAGGTGCTGCTGCTGCAGGTTTGCCGCTGCAGCTTAAGGTATTAGGAATGAAGAAGGCTATTTAATCAAATAAATAGCATAAATAGAGAAAAGATAGACATAAAAATGGCAATAGGCGCAGCCGACAGACGCAGGAAATGCAGCAGCAACCACCCCTGCATGCAGGGCCCCTGCTGCTGCTGCTGCTGCTGCTGCTGCTGCTGCTGCTAGCCTCCTTTCTCTTGATTGAACCTCTGCAGCAGTGTATCTGTTTTAAACTCAGGAAAAAAATACAGGTAGCTCCAGGGCAGCAGCAGCAGCAGCAGCAGTAACAGCAGCAGTAACAGCAGCAGCAACAGCAGCAACGGCAGCACACCGCTGGTCAGTCCATTGGTCCTGACAGCTTCGTCCGTTGTTTTGCATTTTGCTGCACCCTCTGCATGTATGCATGCATGCACGCATGCATGCATGCATGTTTTGTGGGGTTGAGAAAAGGGTGTTGTTGCAGTAAGAATCTGTTTTGTTGCTGGGCGCTGCTATTTGTTAGTTGGTCTCTGCTTCGCTGCTTTTTTGCTGCTTTATCTTCTCTTTACTTAAATATATTTCACCTCCTTTGTGCTTGGTAGGGCCTAGGGTTTAGGGTTTAGTAGGGTTTAGGGCCTAGTAAGGTTTAGGGTTTATTAGGGATTAGGGTTCAGTAGGGTTTAGGGTTTAGTAGGGTTTAGAAGAGATTAACAATTTATATGTTGGGGCTGCCGATGCATGCGCATGCATGCGGTGTCTGTACACTGTACTCTTTCTTGCTGAAGAGACGGCGCTGTCTCCAATAATAATAGGAGAATAATAAAAGTACTACTAATAATAATAATACTAATAAAATAATAGTAATAAGAAAATAATAAGAGCAGTGATACTAATAAA